CACACAGTTAAAAACACAACACTATTTGTAGATTATGGAAAAAAAATATTACATTTCGACTATAAAAAGCTTAAGAAAAGTTTTTATGGATTGATGAAAACAATAAAATACGTTAGAAGGTATGTACAATATCCTTCTTAATTAATAAAAAAGTGAACATAAAAGAACTTAATCAGCGAGGTTGTATGGCAGATATATGGTATAGTATATTCAGATCGGATTGTATCGTTGCCAAATTTTGAAGAATTCCTTCGGGTTAAAAACAGTAAAAATCCTTCGTCTCAAAGAATTGTACATCAAAGATCTGTGTAGGATTTCATGAAGATCGGTTGAGTAGCTCTCGAGAAATCTTGCCATCCGACTTCAAAAACACAGTTTCGATATTTTAGAGGTGTGGTAGAATTTAATGAGGCAATAAAAAMAAAACGATAACTTTTAATATAATCTGTTCAGGATATAATAACCTGGTAGTTGATTGACATAGAAATGATAAGTTGGTATACTTTCACATTATCGATATAGATTAACAAGTCGTTCTGATCATTATATATAGTGGCTACTCTATATAAAATATAGATACTATACTCAAATCAAATAGATTGTCAAAATCGCCTCATCCCAATTATTACGAATTTTATTTATGGAAATAAATTTCACAAATTTCAAAAAGTCCAAGTCTATTTAAATTACAAAGTCATTGCATAAATGATGGGCAAAGCATTTTTAGCACCTGGCGTGACATTTATAAACGCTCATAAAGAAAATAATCTTATCAGCATTATAGGGGCAATATCGCTCTTGAGTGCCCATATACAARGCATAAAATGTTCAAGAAAGGTATAACACGCATTTAATATTTACAAAWTTTGCTCTGCAAATGCGCTTATCAATTAACATTTCAATTATYATATGTTTAAAATTGCCTTACTTATCGCAACTAAGCAGCGAACTTGCATAGTTTTTATTTTTTTTGGTCGGATTGCGGTAGTTTTCTTCAATTGTTCCGCCTATAAGCACAGTTATTTGCGGCTGCACTGTGTAAATTTAGCTTTAAAATTAGTCAAAATAGTTAACCACGAAGTCATAGAATGATGTTCCTTACTTACTTTGTTATTGTCATAATAATAGTTTTAATTTATCAATTTTTTGTGGTTCGTAAAAAATTATKAATTGATTTTAAACTAACGAAAATCTAATACATTTTTRTTTTAATCCAAAATGAAGGTMACCCTACGCATGTTTACCGTAATGCGTGCGCAAAATCGTCTTGAGAGTGGTACGAATATTATCTATTTGAAAATTTACAAAATAATTTTATTRAAACTTTGGAATACGTARACTTCAAMTATTTCAAAATATACTAACTTGTGYAYATGTATATTCTGYAATCATTAATTTAAAACCTGTCAATGATATTTGTGCTTGGCTTGCTGCTTTTTTTGCTTAAAAAAAGTGCAACCCAGTTTTGAAGAAACTCGAATAGCCCTCAATTSGTATTAGCCTTTTCTAACGTATGCAAAAAAATATAAATGAAAATGCATTTTCTGATGTTGCGCTAGTTATATCACYGAAAACAAATATGGAAAGAATATTTTCTCTGATCAGTCTTACGAAGAATTTGTAGAAGTGATGAACTAATCATATACAGTAGCCCTCCAAAATATSCGAAAATCAAATTGTTCCAATAGCAAGTTCTATATTAAATAATATTTAAGACTTATAAACTGACTACCATCCACATCGCATAAGCACTTCTTTGAAAATTTAATCCTTACTTATAATTTAATTTTGAACAAAAGTAATTTAATTAACGATATAACTTAATATTTTCGGGCTGAACGGTGGTAATAAAGTGTGATAGAAAACAAGAAAAAACGTTTACTTCGGCTGCACCGAAGCTAATATACCCTTCACAGGTGCTTTTCTTTTAGTAACTATGTGTACAGTTTGTATGGCTGCTATATGCTATAGTTAACCGATCTGCACAATTTCTTCGGAGATTACATTGTTGCTTTAGAAAATAACCTGTGCCAACTTTTGTGAAAATACATTGTGAAATGTAAAAGTTTTCCATACAAGAACTTAATTCCGATCGTTCAGTTTGTATGGCAGCTATATGTTATGGTGGTCCGATATCGAATCATCAAAATCAAAAAATAATCATTGATATTCAGAAAGCTGTAAAMATGAAAATTTTGCAAATTTTGTTAGAAAGTGTTAATTGTTTGACGAAAAATGTTATTAAACTTATCAAATACGTACGTATCACCTAAAACTAAACAAAATAGATATAGAGTTAAATATATATAATTGATCAGGATGACGAGAAAAGTTGAAATCCGATTGACTGGCCATAACTAAGCATTAAATTAAAATATAGACCTCTACTTTGGCGCATTCGATCCCAGTAGCAAGGGACACCTGTGGCCAAACAATTCAAAAAACAAGAAAAAACGTTAACTTCGGCTGCACCGAAGCTAATATACCCTTYACAGGTGCATTTCTTTTAGTAACTAWGTGTTTAGTTTATATGGAAGCTATATGCTATAGTAATTCGATATCGGCAGTTCCGACAAATGAGCAGCTTCTTGAAGAGAAAATGGCGTGGCGTGGCGTGGCGTGGCACCAACCTCTAATATGTTTAATAACAGGGTCGAACCACGTCAAATGATCCAGACGCATACACCGTGTTATTAATATTCGATGTGCCATACGTTTTAAGAGCGGTAGGGTAACAAAAAATAMAATGATATGARTGAACAAAATTTTTTTGCAGTTTATTAAAGGTGAATATTTTCCACGTTGTGTTACATACTTTTCAGTTTTTTTTAGCGCGAAGAACACTCGAAGAATTTCAATTGTTTAACAGAAAAGTATATGTGTAAACAAATGGATCATGAAAAAATGAAAAAGAAACATTTTTCTTTGACTTCAAAAAATTTCATCGATTTATCTCCAGTAGCTTATGAGAAAATAATTTTACAATTTTATCGTCATCTAAATTTCAACCTTCAATAAGTTTAACAACCAAATTATTTTAACGAAATATTTATATCACTGGTATGTCTGAGACATATAATTGAARTTCAGTGATAGTATTTCTCTGACAATGATATGTCTGTATGTCAAAAATGGGTTGAAGCGGACCAATACTTCCCTTAGTCCCCATATAACTAAAATAAAAATTTTCTCGAATTTCCGGGTAACTTTGTACCKATTATATCGACCAATATGTGAGTTATCTCAATGAAAAGGAGCTAACGTGTTTTACTTATAACAGTGTAACCTTATGTGTTTGTCAGTATAGGAGTTATGTATGTATGTATGTATGTATATATTAGATTGTCAAAAAAGTCTTGCGGTATTTTTATTGAATTTCCAATTGTTCATAAAATTTCTTTTGATGACTCATGCCCGATGCTGCTGCTGCTACTATGCCGGTCTCTTTCGACCAATTCAACGATTTTATCGCAATTTTCGACGACAGGCCTTCCGGAGCGTGGCGCATCTTCGACCACCTCTACACCAGAACGAAAACGTTGAAACCGTCGTTGTGCGGTGGAAATAGAAACTGTATCGGGTCCACAAACTGCACAAATTTTATTGGCGGCTTGAGATGCATTTTTGCCTTTATCGTAGTAGTACTGTAAAATATGCCGTATTTTCTCTTTATTTTGCTTCAGTCAATCAAACACGTGTTAGCGCGTGAAATGAGCTTTCCAAAACGGTATAGCATGACTCGATGCGACGAATAAAACTAGAACTACGCGCTTTCAGCGCCAACTAGAGAAAATACCGCAAGACTTTTTTGAAAACCATATTTCTTTGTTCCAAGTCGATCAAATAATTTTACAGCCGTTTTCTTTTCTTCAAGTTTATTCTTTGCTAAAGAAATCCATATTTTTTTGCAGAGCAGTTATTCTTCGAATTGATAGGTATTCAAACCAACTTTTATGGCGATCTTGTTAACTTCAATTTCTCAGAGCACAAGACAAGTCTCTCGCAAAGTCAATGAGTTGTAATTTCCATATAACAATTATCATTTATCGACTTCTTAACCTAATAAAGTAAAATGTACGAAGTTTTTTCATAAGTCTCTNTGGCTTTGATTAAGCTTAAACTCCGTAAACGAAAAGGCTTATTTTGGATCATTAGAAAATATAACATTTCTGCAAACGCTTAAGGTTAAAGTTTCGTGTACTTTAATCTCCCTTTTGACGCATTTAAAGGATCAAATTGGTATTTTGTTTGCCCGAGTCTATTAAATCCAGCCTCTTTAAGGCGTTTTCGTACATTCTGAGTGCTCACTCACTATTTACATCATTTTCTACAACGATTTGACATGCCTAGGCGGTTCATAATATGATTCTGGTGATTGGTATTCTTCTTTTTTCCAGTGCCAGAGTATCGTTGAAAGGTCCCAATATTTTCAAAAACTTTAGCGCTTACATATATATCACGAAACCATACTTGCAGTTGAAGTACATCCGAAGTGAAAGGAAAAATTTGCGGGAAACATTATTTTTTTAGTTAGAAAAATATTTCAAGTAGAAATCACCAACTGCTCTTCAAAATTAAATATCAACCTTAGCTCTTATTTCACCATTTTGGCTTCATTTTCGTTCAAGCAAGCAGTAATAGCAATATATCAGATAACAGTATAATCGATTAGAATCAATCGTTAGCTGATACGCTTACGAATATGTGCCCGTAATTCCAAAAATGCTTTTCTATAATTGTAGAATTTAACTGTATTAGAATCTGGCTTTACAAGTGACAGTTACGYTCACTTGACCATAAGAGATGAGTTTACAAATCGCGACAAGTCATCTTTTGCTCTACAACTGCTGAAAAAATAATAAAATAAACTATTWAAACTATTAGGGGACCACTTAGTCATCATCCTTGTCACTGGTTCTTTGCSTTTTCGTAGTGATTTTATTAATAAAAACATCCTAAATCTTTGATTAATTTTTGCATTCACCATCCTCTYTTTCCAGATCGCCAAGGCAACATTTTCACAATCGCAAATGAGAGCGCCAACAACCCGTTACCGCATCGTTTTTCAGATTTCTTCTATGTTGAACCGAGCGCCGAAGAGGCAGCCCGCATTCGCGCACAATTGGAGAAGGATGAAAAGGATTTACCCACCTACGAAGAGGTGATGGCCATGAGTGCCGCTCAAACGGCGGCCGGCACTTTATCGCCACCACCTACAACTTCGACAACTTCCGTTGCCACAACGGATACGACAGTGCCGCCATACTCAGARGTCAATCGGAACGGGATTCGGGCAGCTCCAGTAACCTTGGAAATGGATGCAATTGCGAGACCAACAGGAAACGTAACAGTACCAGCCGCGGAAGCAGGAGCAGCGTCAACATCCCGTGCTGCCGCCGCCGCTGCCACAAGTACAGCGACTACAGCTACTGTCGTCACCCTTGCCAATTCGGTGTCAAATACGAGCGTGTGATCCACCCACTTGCATTCAACAGTCAATAGTATGCCGTATTGGTCTGCATACGGATAACGTGGTGTATGAGCAATATAGTGTCTTCTGAACTTACAAATGCTACCTGCTAAGCATTACATAAACGTGTATAAATATTTGTAGGCTTGGCAGAAAAGTCAATATTGTCATGTGCTAGTGATTTCATTAAGAGTACGCATTTAAATGTCCTTTCATATGTATATAGACACATTCCGACATTTTAGAGACTGTCATGTTTTTACCAGTGCATCCACGGGAATGTCCTGTACCTATTTATATAGTTTCTATTTTGTGTAAATTAACCCTTATTTTATAAGAAAACTTATTAAAAAAGTGTGAGTAATTAAAATAGCTTTACAACAGACGCCGTAGCTACCGGTTATTTATAGAGAGTACAAATACGGGTACTCTTCCACATTTATATCGAGCACAGGTGATCTTTTATTGTAAATGAACGAGTATTCATAATGATAGATAATATAAAATTTTAGCATAAGTTGTTGTAAATCGAAAGCTTTAAAAATATACACCCTTACAAAAAAACTGAAAGTTGTTGTGTGTGTGTGTGTGTTTTTAAAATTTGAAGCTCACTAGGTATGGCTGTAAAATCGAAAATAAAAAGTGAAATAATCAATTGGAATTTAAAATTGTGCTGTAGTCCGCGGGGGTGTGGGTATGAGGGCTAAAGGAAGTATTAACCCGATTCAACTCACAATGACACAATGGTATATTATTATCAAGGAAGTATTTCCCCAATAGCATATCTCATAGATAGACCGGTATTTTCGGCAAAAAGTCAGTCATTCGCACTGGGGTCCAAATATTCGGAATGTCCGATTGGTAATTTTATATTCGAGATGGCATAACTCAAAGTCACCGATAGCAAGGGCTTAAGTCGCAAGGCATATTCGGCACCTCTCAACAGATGTGAGTGGTGGTGCATGACGCTGATCAGGCGGGTTGTCAGAAGCCATATGCGTACGGCAACCAAGAGTTGTCACCTCCTAATCCAGGGTGTTATGCGACTCCCGTGCCCTTTGAATGTTTTTCAGGTAGGAAGTTTATGTGGCTGTATTCTAGCGGAGCCTTCCCAACACCGGTCCGAATTGGAAAGCAACGGTGGTCTTACCGTGCAATGAAACTCTGGCGCAGAGGACCTTTGTGTGCCGATTATTTTGTGAGCGATGGCTTGAGCCTCAAAAGCAGAATTCAGTAGAACTTCAACAATCAAAGATGCAAGGACTCCTCTGCATCTGCACGTACCCGACAGACAGCACCTAAAGTCATACTATAACTCACACCGGTCAGGCAGCCAGGCATATACTGCTTCAAATGACAGCAGAAAGGTGTGGCATGAAGGACTTAACTGGTGTAATACCATTGGCTCTTCTCTCAAGGGACAGCATTTCCAAAAGGATAAATTCCARCAAGAAGTTCCAGGTTACCCTCAGCAGTAAGGCTGAATGAAATGATTTCACTCTCGATCTGCCGCTTAGGTGTAGTCCAACCAAGTAGTATACTGACGTCTCGAAGACATCGGAGGAAATTTGTGCAGGAATCACAGTATCACGCACCAAACCAAACTTTCTGCCGGTCTTCATATCATATGATCGGTAAAAAGGAAGGAGTAGGCAGGGAGTGGTATTGGCAACAACTCCAAGGCATTCGACATACCAAGCTGATAATGGGTGGCTATAACCTTAACAGGTTTCAATCCTTATAACCTTAASAGGGAMAATCTCCGACTACTTGTCACATTCTAGACATTATAAGCTCAAGGAGTACTTATATTRCATGGAGCCCGAAACTCCAGAAAGCTCTCCCTGGCGCATTCAGTTACTGATTATTCACGCTTTTCGTAGGAAAATTCTAAGAAAATGTTTACTTATTACTTACATTACGTTTTCAAAAAAAAAAAACTGTCGGGTGAATGTAGACTTTAAGCAAAACTGACCAGCAGAACACGAACCACTAGTGGATTTAGCGTCGAAGCGGACTCCTTTAGACATGAACCAAGATTGGTGCGGTCATCGAAACTGGCGCTCCACGTGGAAAGCCTATAAAAGCGAGATCGTAGCCAACTGCGCTGCACGACCGTACGCAACATGTGACTGCCACAATGACCAATCAATAATCAGATCTGTGACTTACTTACCACTGTAACGAAACTCCACGCGAGGTCGTCTCGTGAATCAAGAAGACGGAAAAAGACGAGATAGTCCTAGAAATGAAGAAAGCGCAGATGACGAATACGGGTGCATATGAAAAGGAGATATGCAAGGTGCTAGGTAACTAGGCACAGATAAGAGCCTTAATTCATGCRTCATCGTTAGAGATCCGCGATCTAGATAAGGTAAAAACGAAAGAGGGTATAGTAAATGAAACTCGATCACAAATTAATGAGCTAARCAGCGGGCATCAGTGTTCCGACATCGGACACAAGAAGGTTGATTCATTCACGCAGGATCAAGATTGGGTGGGTGATCWGTAAAATAAGGATCATATAGGAAATTTTTCAGGTGCTTGGAATATGAGCATTATGATTGATGCAAGACTGAATTTCAAAGCAAATGTTGACAATTCCTGTGGCAAGGCAGTTTCAGTGACAGCGGTCCTATCAAGAATAATGACTAACACTGGCCAGGCAGCTCTGCTAAAATCAGCCAGTCAACACTGATTACGCGACTGCTATACGAGGGATAGCACTGGCCAAAAAACAAATGCCAATAAGTGTTCGGGTTATGTACCATTAAAGCGGACTGACTAGCTAACTAAAGTCTATCAAAAATGTAAATCTCTAACGGCTGAGGATCAAAAAAAGGAAAGATAGGCGAGCCTCGAAGAGAGTCAAAGACAATGGTATGCGCTAGAAAAGRGAAGATAGACTCATAAGCCGTACCAGCYTKGATTGAGAGATATTGCGCGGAGACRTACTTTTATCTGACGCAAATCTTGACGRGCCAARGCTGTTTCAGAGAGTACCTCTACATKTTAATCCCGTGCTGATGAAAACTCTGAGCATATCTCTTTCAAATAAATAAACCAAAGCATGACGCCCGACAACGTTATAAGTCATATGCTGCAATCAAAGCTGGTATGGATGAAAAGGAAAGAACGGGCCGTAACGGTGATCCAAAAGCTCACGACAAGAGAAAGACGCGTAAAAACTTMAGACCAGTTAAGTAATCCCGCAGAGAATTTACGAAGATGCATTCTTGCCCAGCTTCATCCTCATAAATCCTATAACACATTCATGGAGAATATTATAACTGCTAATAAGTCATGTCTTTATGAGTTGGACATGTAAACAAGTCAACAATCGTCGGAATGGAACCCGTTTACAATTGATCGAAGAGATAAAACAAAATTCGCCGAAAGAGATGAGGACCAACCTAAAAAATTCTTATGAAAAGTGTTTCGAGTGTATTACATCTGGTGGAGATTACTTTGAAGGCGACAAAACAAATATTGATAAATAATTAAATAATTTAGATTTTTTTTTACAATATTTGTATACTCTGTGGCAACATATTGCAAGAGCTTAGGAAAACTTTTTTAGAATAACTAAATTACCAACCACAAATATATTTTTCTGGTAATCATGTAGCGGGTATTTTTTAGACATGTGGTTTTCAATTATGTGGTACGTTTTAGAGGAATTCATCGTTTTAACTGCGTTTACTTGATTTAAACTCAGCTATGTTGTCGTCGACGTCATCTAAATGAAGGTCCAAGAAACGTGCTGTTTCCACGGGGGGTCAGATGAGTGGAGTTGGTGGCACATGTCCAGAGGTGGTCAGTGTCATGCCGACACTCATTGCATGCAGAACAATGTACAGTATCCAGAACGAAGCTGTGCAAGGGTCACTCTCGTTTCTCGCGGCAACTCGAGCTCTTCGTCTGCAATGGGTGGTGATTTGACTCCGAGTACTCCATTCACTGGAAAGGAGTTGGTGAAGATGTTGATGGCTCCACTGTGAATGGCGGTCAGTGCTTGTCGGAAGTTTGTTGCGTCCGAAGTCTGGTCGGCATATTGTCTTATGTCTTTGACGTAATTGATAAATGACCTCTTGATTGACCCAGCTGACTGCAGGGTGACGAAAGAGCATCGATTTTATTTCTAAAATCTTTTTTTTTATCGTTTAGCGCTTCGAATTTATTTTTGTCACCCTCCACAAAAAGCTTGAGTGATATGTCTATGAGCTTGCATGATTCCAATAGTAATAATTGCATTCTGCCTGCGGTGTTATGTGTTCACTTCAAAAAGAAAATATTCTTCCTTAGATTAAAAATAAATTTTAATTTTTGAATTCCRATAATGGGATAAAACTGTTCCAATCTAATTTTCTAAATATTTCAACCCTAATTTTCAGTTAATACGATCTTATTAAGTATTATTGTACTCCATTCAAAAATTTGTGGAATAACGGTTGTTGGAATCAATTATATTAACTTGGAATAAAATAATGTTTCGACATCGCAAGTTGTCACATTATTAACTGTACAGCTGTGTTTTTATTTTCTTTTAAAGAAAAATTATTGTAGAACATAAACTWCATTTGGCAATGCTACAGCTCAGGTAAGAAATGTCAAAAAGAAAAAAAATCAACAGCTGTTGAATATATTGGCATGTCATTTATTTCGGCATTTCAATTGCAAATAGAAATTTCGATCACTTACTAAAGGAATATGTTGTCATTCTGTAGGAGCTGAAGAAATGGGAGATATCAAAGTAAGACTCATATCTCGCTATCATACTTGATTAGATTATTACACATTTCTAATGACAGGTTGAATTTTCCGTACAAATGCGAGGAGAGCATTGTGCTGAAAGAGTGCGCAATGCCCTTCAAGGTACGAGTAAAGTCGACATTGATTCGTCTGAAGGACGAGTCACAATAGAAACAAAAGAACCGTGGTATGTTATTAAGGAAAAAATTGAGAGCACTGGACGAAAAGCTGTATTAGTTGGATTTGGTGGACAGTCAGCGGTTGCGATTATAAATACTACCGGCAGTGACGTTGACCGTACACCGATACAAGGAATTTTGCGGTTTTGTGCGTTAACAAAAGATAATCCAGGCGTAGTGGTGGATGGTGTTGTAGATGGTTTGACGCCTGGATTACATGGTTTGCATGTTCACGAATCGGGGGACGTATCAAGTGGTTGTGCTTCCATCGGAGAACATTACAATCCACGCGACTCWCCACACGGCAGTCCAGACAATGCACCTGATTCACGGCATGCAGGTGATTTGGGCAATATACGCGCTGATGAATGTGGTCGTGCTACCTTTCGTTTTGTCGACCCTGTCTTAGCTGTGTGGGATATCATTGGGCGCTCAGTGGCGATAACAGCGAATGCTGACGATTTGGGGAGAGGTGGCAATGAACAGAGCCGCATCGATGGCAACGCTGGTGAACGGTAAGAATTTGCTATTATCATTAGTTTCTGAGGTAAATAAAAAAATCTGATATTTTATAGCATTGCTTGCGGTATAATTGCACGTTCAGCAGGAATTATGGAAAATTTCAAAAAGATTTGTGCTTGTGATGGCGTGACGCTATGGGATGAAAGAAATAAACCTATWGCTGGTGGAAATCGCACACAAAAATTATAAAAGGATTTCGGTAGTGTTAAGCATATAGTTATTGTCTACATAATAAGAGGTACGCTTAGGGTGTAATAAAACAGGTGATATGAAATACTATTATAAATATGTACTTGCATTTAAAAAATAAGTTTATTCAATTACAATCATCTATGGCTTTGCTTTCTTCGGGTACATTGCTCTGTTTGGCTTTTAATTTTATTTTGGCCAACTGCGTTTTGCATTTACTTTTGTAACTTTGTACTATTTTGCCACAGTGTATAGGTGGAGATATTGCGAATGTAGCGTGAATCTAAAAGTTAATTGTAACATAGAAAACTACAAAATCAAAAACATTGTAAAATTACCTCTAAATAATCCTCTAGTGATTCATAAGGTATGCATTGTTCCAAAAGATCAATTGCAGTTTTGAATTCCTCTACTTTTAAAACGAATTTCATATCCGAAATATTTCGCTTGTACCAATCAGCATATGCCGTTATATTTGTGTCAATATCCATCGTTATTGCGGTTGCGGCTCGTACCGTCAGTAGCAAATGAAGCATACACTCGAGTTTGGGAAGTACAACTATTTGACTTAGTCTTGTTCTTAAGTATTCTATGAAATCATACAAAAATTAAACTTTCCTCCTATATTTTCTACTTAAAAGAAAAAGAACTAACTTCGTATGAATGACGAATTTTCCTCGCTGCATTTACTTGAAATTGTTTGTAAAAGAATCAAATAAAATTTCCATTGGCTGAAGTGCTCCAGAGAAGACAACTTAAAAAGGTACGAAATCGCTTCCTGCTCAGAATGCCGAAGTAACTGAAATTTCAAAACCATTACTAAATCACTTATTTGAATAGTTTTTGAAGATACATACTTTTTCATACAATCCCTTAGTGAATTGAATTTCATCTACGCCCTCATTAATCCAGTTTGAAAAATTGCCAAAAGCTGTTTTGGCATTGCTCTTATGCAAATCCAAGACAGTACCAATGTGCCTCTGCATCAAACTTACTGTAAAATCAGCTAAATTCAAGAATATCAAGGATTTACGCTTTAAAATGAAGCATTGCAAACAAAAGATGAAAAAACTTACTTGGCATATTTTTCGTAATGCCGTTTATGTAAGTTAAATCATTTAGTTGTGGGTTCTCTATTAAATCTGTATATAGCCTGGAAAGACACTCATCAAGTGCGTCATTTAGCCTTATTGCATTGCTGTTATCTAATATTTCATAAAGTAAATTAATAACTGYCACTATAAATAATATCACAAAATATTACCATAATGCGCCACGGTATACAATTCTTTTAATAATTCAAATTCTGCTTCGAGAAAATCATTCAGAATCAACTGAATTTCCTCWTCGTTCTCCAGACTGCAAATGTAAATATTATATTTAACGAATTTACAATGAATTTCGATTACTCTTACAAACCTTAATATATAATTACTTGYCGTGAGCACATTCGCCGATTGCAGAACAGCTAAAACTCGCAAACTTCCTATATTCCATGGTAATTTGCAGAAATACCTTGCAGCTAGCAACTAGAAGTTTAGTTAGAATTTTTGTAGTTGTAAGGTGAACAAATTTATACCTGCTCAAACGGACTTAAGCTTTGAAACAACATCTTCAGCTCAAACCTKTCCAAGAGAACTGGTCTACTGCATCTCTCTTTTATAGCCTATAAATTAYTTATGTATAAATAAACCGTCTCATATTGTACACTTCATTTACAAATTTATACCTCAAATACAATTTGTAAACTTTCATTTACTTCATAAGCCATTTCACCCTTTTGCTATAACATCAATAAAAAGTAAATTGTTTCAACTTCGAACGAATTGAAAGCGGTCGCTCATTTGATTCAAAGCGGCGCCAAGGATTAACAGCTGTTACTGTGTAGGTCTGTTCGGGTACAGCAAATAATTTTCGGCAAACACACATATTTTTATTATATGAATTATGATGTTGTGTTGTAAAAGTTTTGGACATGTTACCGTCCTGACAGTTATTGAACAAATATTATATGTATGYAAATACATAAGTATATATACTAGGTATCCATAAGTAACGTCTGCTCCATGGTCATCGATTGGGGAATCGCGTTCGCCTTCTCCTGGCGTTGTGCGTTCACTGCCATTCAGGAGGCTGGAGAAGTGTTCCCTCCCTAATTTAAGTATGATCTGGGCATCGGTAACTAGATCACCTTTGGGGGTTCTACAAGAGTATGCTCCGGTCTTGAAACCTTCAATAAGCCGCCGACCCCTGTCGGCCAGCTTATCAAGCTCTTCGTACTCACGAATTTTGGCCTCTTTCTCTTTCTGTCTGCAAATGCGTCTCGCTTACCTCTGTAACTCTATGTATCTATCCCTTCCCGCACGTGTTGTGKTCGATCGCCTGTTTTCTTTCCGCTGCGACACGGCACTCYTCGTCGTACCAGCTGTTTTTTTGCACTTTCCGAAAACCAATGGCAGCTGTACGTAAGGAATTTSAAATRCCRTATCACAGTTCCCTTATACCGAGTTGGTGACGAGTGCTCTCAGAGASCAGGAGTGCAAGTCGAGTAGAAAATCGTTCGGCTATCTGTGGTGATTGCAGCTCTCGACGTCGAACATTCCTTGTGTTTGTTGRCGTGCGKTTTTTGCTGCACAGAGGCGGGTGCGAATCTTGGCTGCAACAAGATAGTGGTCCGAGTCGATGTTAGTACTTCGAAGCGCATGCACATGTCTTCCGTCTTTCACAACATGTATATAAAGCAGTGAGCAAATGATCTAGTTTTGCAGATTTATGGGTCGATAACAAACGCATTTTTGTTGAAATGTACATAACTCAGCTGCCGATAAGCCCGATTGCTGGAATAGTACATACGTCATTTGTACGCACAACGATGATTATTTTTACCATCTATATGTATGTATTACATATTTATTAGGGAAGACAATTTCAAGCTCTTAGTAAAGTTTGTTAATAGCACCAGATTCTTATGTTTTCTGGAAAGGAAAGTTACTGTCTTAAATTCGACAAATAACTAATATATACAGGTTTTAACTCTTAATCTGCAAAAACTAAAGATTTTTCATTATTTTGCTTTTAGTTCATTGGCTGCCAGTGTATTATCGGTGATCACGACAAAAATCTACTCCCAGGTGCTAATCAAATAAAAAAAAAATACATGATATGTAAACCCGTCGTACACCCTAATGTACTTCAGCACTCTTATAAGACGAGTACAAATCGCACTAGATTTAACTTTTCTTTTAAATCAGCTTGAATCATAAATATACAAGCTCATTGCTGTTGCAACCGCAGTGAAGTAATGTTATTTGATGGAAATGCCGCTTTTTAACGGAATAAAATCGGTGTATTTTATACGTTCGTTTGAATTCTCATAATTTTTTCCAGTTAAAATCTTAAAAAATCTTAATTATTTTAATAACAATGCATTTGTGATTATAGAAATGTGAATACTTAAATAAAAAATAAAAAAAATAATATCATTTTACACATGTCTGTGATCTACACATACATAAGCAATCGCAAATGCAAGTGGCAGATAGTGGCAAAAACAATCAACCAACACTTGGAATACTTATGTATGATTGTTTGTAACAAATGTAGATAATTTGAGTGATATTTGTGCGAAAGAAGTAAGCAAATCTTCACACTTCGGAAAGTGATAAAAAGCATTTCACATTGATAGATTGTGAAAATAATTTATTTATCAACTGTTATGTACCTCGGCCACATTGGCATTGTTTGTATGTTCTTACATATACATACTTACATACATATGTACATATAGTATGTGTTGATGTCAAGAAGTAAATACTAAATCAGTTTACAATAAATATGGCATTCTCTTTATTCTCAATTACTTCATACTAAATAACAGATAACAGTAACAATAATAACACACAATAAAMAAGTACAAATCAGTATTTAATTCTGCTTACTTAAGAACTGTGAAGACTGCACCATTTAGCACATAGTTTGGATGAGCATGGAAGATCTCAATATTTGCACCATAGCGTTAGTGATTATAGTATTTTTACTGTTCATCATTCGGGTGAGTATTATGTATGTATGTATGTAGTATGTATGAACCAACAATTATATAAATTTAAGCGAAAAAAATTAAAATAAAAGTGTTTAAAAGAAGAATAAAACATAATTATTCAAAAAAAAAAAACTTTCTGAGTAAGATTTCTTAAAAAATGTATTATATAAATCTTTAGAAAACCTAAAAAAGCTCAAGCTTCTTTTTTTTTTAAATTGTTAAACAGTTTATTTTGAAATGTCCAAAACTCAGTTCATTTAATTTTTTTTATTGAAAATCTGACTGTTTCACATTACAATTATTATTAATAATTGCTTTAATTCCAAATAATTACTTCTGACATAATTTAGTTTGTATTATTTACTTCAAGCTTAATCATTTTCATTATTTAAATTAGCTATTTTCGATCAGTTGTTCTTTAGTTATAAACTTATGCTGCCGAAAATATTTGTATCTGGTGCTACCTGGGTTGAATAGTTATTGTGTAGACAGAGAGATCGTGCTACAAACACTAAATTGCTGTTCATTTTGCAAAGTGCTAAGCTTAACAGGWATATTGTTGAAGTTCCATGCCATTTCATTCAATGATCTCAAGTTATTGGTTTGAAAGTAACTCATATGTTTGATGACGAAGTTGGTCCAAGTTGCTTGGTTGCCATAAATTTTCTTAAATATGTTTGTACTATTTTGTNTTTAATAAATGGGTGAAATCTCTTTGTGTAGGTATACAATTTTATTTAATTTCTGTAAGACAAAATAAAATGTTTGGGCCAAATTTGCCGCCCCCTAAAATCTGCCGCTCTAGGCTCCAGCCTACTCAGCCTGCTGATAAATCCACCACTGGATCACAAGTTATTGGTTTAAAAGTAACCCATATGTTTGATGACGAAGTTGGTCCAAGTTGCTTGGTTGCCATAAATTTTCTTAAATATGTTTGTACTATTTTGTWTTTTAATAGCTTAATATATTAATTATGTTATATTTTCTTATAAACAATTGATGAGAATTTGTATTAAAGATTTTATGAAATAGTTTTGTATAAAAAAAAACTTTCTAACATTTTTAATACTTGWTACTATTTCTAACCAATAACTTTAAATAAGTCAAAATCCGTTAAAAAAGAGTGGTATAATTGCAAACGGCGCGCATTGCTTATAAAAAACTATAGATATATAAACAAATAAGGACGGTCTAAGTTCGGGTATAACCGAAGATTTCATACTCTTGCCTAGTGACCTAGTAACCGAGTATACTAAAATTATGGAGGGAACACTTCTCCAACTTGCTGAATGGCAGTGTATGCATAACGCCAGGAGAAGGCGAGCYCGATTTCCCAATCGATGTCGTTGGAACAGACGTTCCATAGCCCGATCATGAAAAAGTTCGCATAGCAATTACCCGCCTAATGGACAACAAAGTAGCGGGGTAGTTTCTTTGTAAAATATGGTCGAATGAAAGCATGCCCAACGATTGGAATTTAAGTGTGCTATGTCAAATCCACAAACGCAGAATAACTCTTGCCTTTGCGCGTTAGCCACGGCGAATATCGCATTCGATGGAACTGTATGAGCTGTATGAGATATAAGACGACATTGACATAGTTCAGTGATTTAAAAGACAGCGGCTACGCTGGCTGGGTCATGTTGTCCGAATGAAGGAAAATACTCCAGCTCTGAAAGTATTCGACGCAGTACCCGCCGGGGGAAGCAGAGAAAGAAGAAGAAGACCTCCACCGCATCTTGCGGCTATAACCGCGTAAGTGGTTTCTACGCTTGTAAAGAAGAAGAATACCTTTAGATACATAAGGCTTGTTAGTTATATTTGATATTGGGCAAGTTTTCGSCCRATTTTATTCATTCGTTGTTATGAAAACACACTTTTCYATTTTAATTGAGATAACTCMTACATATRTACATATATTGGTCGATATATTCAGTGCAAAGTCACCCAGAAGTTCGAGAAAAATTTTATTTTAGTTATATGGGGACTAAGAGAAGTATTGACCCAATTCAAAATATTTTTAACATAAAGACATACTATTATCAAGAAAAGATTATTTCCGAATTTTAATTACATATCTCACTGTTAACCGATATTTTCGCTAAAAAGTCAACTATAAGCAATCTCAATTCTCATATTATCAGCTTTACAATTTAAACATCTTCTAGTTGAAATTGAAGAAAATTAAATATAGTTTTAAATCTATATAAATAAACAAAGATAATCATAAATATTTAATATATGTATRTACAACATGTAGAAGTACTCACCGATATGACTCTTTCAACTTTTTAACAATTTATAATATTTAATTTATTTTTGTTTGCAGATACTCTCCTTATCAATTCGAAATTTAATTTTATTGCGGCAACTGAAGTATGAAGGTATGTGTGCAATTTATTTTAATATTTAAGGAAATCTCATTTGTTTACGCATATCATATATAAAGAATAAAATAAACGGGTGGGTGAACTGTTTGTGTCGGTTTGAAAAGGTGAACGTCGACGACAGAGGTTCTGGTTGGCAAATCAACATGGAATGGTATTTCAAATAGACCAGTGATATTAAGCAAACCATTCTTGTACTGGTTCAATGATCTTAAGAGTTTATTTCTGTGTCGTTGTTTCAATGAAGCAGTAGCATAGCTGGGACGTGAGCATGGTTTACAAGTGAGTAAGTGCGCTAGACATCTTAAGAGCCAAAGGCTTCTTATATTTCTCGCATTTCYGCTGACTTCATTTGAAATGCTATACGAGTATGTCAGGAACGACTCAACCAAATTTAATAATACTTACTGATCTGACATATTTATRTTACAGAGTGATCGGAAAACACATCTCAAAAACGGAGCATAACCATTGAAGTATGTTATTAACATCAGTGAACAATGTTTTCATTTGGGGGCGATATTTACGTGTCAGACCCCACTTCTACACATGACTCCATMCTTCCGTTCTGCTATAGGGTGCAGAGGCATGGACGATGACAACATCTGATGAGTCGGCCTTAGGAGCTTTGGAGAGAAAGGTTCTGCGAAAGATTTATGGTCCTTTGCGCGTTGGCTACGGCAAATAGCGCATTCGATGGTACGATGAGCTGTATGAGATATATCACGACATTGACATAGTTCAGCGCATTAAAAGACAGCGGCTACGCTGGCTAGGTCATGTTGTTCGAATGGACGAAAACACTCTTACATTTATCGTATAATGAGCATGTATTGGTGTGTTTAACAACAATGTGTTACGTATCATAATAACGCCGCAGCTCTTAGGCGAATGAATGATGGCCCCATATAAAAAATTATCAAGCCAAGCAGCCGAATTAGACCCAGAGGCCATTTGCCGAGAGCTCATCAGCATAAACAAAGCAGACTCGATTTAGGAAAATGTGGGAGCAGAGCAAGCCAAAAAGGGTCGTTTGTAGCAAGTTCGTTAGCATGCAGCTGAAAGCCGAGCTCTTGTGGCCTAATTCCACTGCTTGGCTATATTTTTGTCAGACGTCTAAAAGCAGTTAAACCGGACGCATCTCCAACTTTCAGCAGCTTTTAATGTTATGTGTATTTCCCTCCATTTTACTCCCAGTTTACTTCCTCCTAGTCCTTTCTTACTACTATTTTGCATTTGAACCTTATCAAGAAATGATCAGGTTTGTTCTACTCATGCAACATGTTTCTGCAGAGTATAATAGTTTTTCTTACTTAATAGTTGCATTTGYTGCCTAAAACTAATCCAGCTAGATATAGGATTATATATATGTCCAATATGCATATAAAGGATTCAGGATGAAGAAACTAGTTAAAATCCGGGTAACTGTCTGTCCGTTCGTCTGTGCAAGCTGTAACTTGAGTAAAAATTGAGATATCTGAAACTTGGTATGCGCAT